GGAAGCTTAAGGAAGCATCCCTTAAGGGATAATTCCTTAAGGAAGCAGAAGGAAGCTTAAGGAAGCATCCCTTAAGGAATCATCCCTTAAGGAAGCAGAAGGAAGCTTAAGGAAGCATCCCTTAAGGAATCATCCCTTAAGGAAGCAGAAAGCTCCCTCTGCCCCGCCGCGTTGCCAGCCAGGCAGCCGAGGCTGGCACGGTTCCTGTTTTATGGATCGTGGATGCCGCCGCCACCAAGGCGTCCCTGCTGCAGGGCGGGTTTGTTTCCATTTTGTTTGTCACAAGTCGCAGCAAGTGCCTCAAGGATTAGAAACAAAGAAAAAAGGCGCCCTCCCTCCTGGCACAGAGCGGTTACTTTGTACAACTCCTGCCTGTTTCACCCCGTTCAAAAAAGAAAAAACAAACACCACAAACAGGCAGGGCTGTTGAGGAGGGCTGGATGCAGAGGGATGCGTGTCCCAATCCACCTCCCCGTTCCCTGGTGCTGGCAGCACGATGCCAGGGCGCCCGCCGGCCGTACTCACCAGCGCGGGGTACGACGGGTACCCCCGGCACTTGGCCCACACGAGATCCAAGGCGTCCAGAGAGGAATCCTCGTCCTCCGAGAGCCACCCCGCTCCGCGGCCAATGCCCTTCCGCACCACTGTGAGGGAAAAGGCGTCAGCCTGGCCCCGTCCAGGGGACAACGGGAGCTGTGCTGGGCCGGGAAGGCTCCGAGATACTCACTGCCGTGCCCCACACCTCGCCCTGTGCCAACCGAGTAGGACTCGTTCTCTGTCCCCGACGTGTCCTCGCTGCTGTCCTCGGGGAAGTTCACGCGGGAGAAGGAGGGCTTCCCTCTGCCCTGTTTTGAGGGGGTTGTGCTGAAAGGAGAGCGGGAGCAGAGCTGTTGGAGCAGTCACACGAGGCTTCCAGAAGCCCTTTTCCCGAGGACAATCCCGGAGGCCCTCAGGCTCCTGGGCAGAGCTCCCATGAGCTCCAACGAGCTCCAACTGCCACCACCAGCACCACGAAGGGCAGCAGCCCACGGCGGAGCCTCAAACAAAGGCACGGAAGCGCAGCCAGGCCTCGCAGCCTGCGCACGCTTTGTTATCCCCCTCGGCCTGCAGGAGGAGCCTGAAAGAATCCCAGGATGGCCGAGGTTGCAAGGGATCTCTAGAGATCACCCAGCCCAACCCCCTGCTCGAGCAGGGACATCCAGAGCACAAGGAGGTCCTGTCAAACACCATCCTCACTCAGGGCTGCGAGATGCCCACGGGCACCCTGAGCAGCAGCCCGTGAGCGCAGCCGGGCCGGACGCGGTACCTGGTGCGGTCGGAGGCAGCGCTGCTGCTGCTGCTGCTGCTGGACTCCGAGTCGGAGCTGCTCCGAGGGAGGTTACAGTCATTCCGGTACACCAGGAAGCTCTTCTTCACCGGCTGGTTCCCGCTGTTGAAACCGTTGGCCGGCAGGTCTGCAAAGCAAAGCAGCAGCGGGACGATGTAATTGCAGCCCTCGGGGGCCGGCCGTGCCGCCGGGAGCTGCCGCACTCACCCATGGGAGCATCCTCGGCGGATTTGTCGCTGTCGCTGTCCGAGCTGGAGCTGGGCCGCGGGCTGCGCCCTCGCTTCCGCTGCCGCTGCGAGGAGCCCATGATGGGCAGCTGCGGGGGGCCGATGGGGCTGCTCCCGTGGCCGGGCGGTATCTGGCTGTCCCGATTCTTCGGGGGGCGGCCTGGGCGTTTTGGGGGGCCTGCGGTTTTAGGGTTCTTCTTGGAGAAGAGCACGGAGGTTCTCCTGCCAACTTCATGTGCTGGGGTGGAAGAAGAATTGGGACCGAGACCTGAAAGAAAAGGAGAAGGCATCAGTTGGGCTCCATGGGACTTGCCCCATGGGACAGGCAGCAGAACAAGCAGTTCAGTTTCTCAGGAGCTGCTTCTTGCAAGGTTCCAATCCTGAGCTTTGTCACGCTCCCCCTCAGGCTCAGAGCGTTGAGTCTGCTGAGAGCAAAACCTCCAGTGGGAGCTTAGTACAGATGGGGACATCAAAGAAGACTCCATCAGCCAACAGATGCCCTCACACACCCTGAACTCATTGAAAAAGAAGTCAAGAAAGAAGGAGCATCCTTCCCCATGAGGTGCCCAAACAGGCAGCAGCCAACAAGGCCTGCTGCAGCCTTGAAAGGCAGCGATGCCAAACACTGCTTGCAGAAAAGCCTGCTTCCCCAGTGCTCAGGGGGACAGGCTCACAATGCAAAGGTGACAAAACCCCAGGAAGCCCTTGTTGTTCTGCCCAGGCTTGTGCTTTGGCTGTGCCCTCCGTGCAGCCCAGCTCCTCCCTGCAGGCACCCGGGGAGCTCCCAGCTGCTCAGCGTTCAGCTCCAGCCCCGAGCGGATGTTTGGAGCTTGGCAGTCAATAGTTCGAGCCCCGAAACCCCCTCCTGTGCCCCACGCTGTTCCCTGGCAGGAAGGGACAGTGTCGGCAGCTCGGAGAGCCTGTTAATGTCTCCAGAGAAACCAGGCAGTGAGGCAGAGCTACGCAGGGGCTGCCATCCGAAGCAATGCGTCTCACTCCCCACATGGACAGCCGGGATTTTTGTGGCAAAACGCTCGGTTTCTTGGATGATCTCCGGCTCCTCGGGCACGGGGAGGGGAGCTCGTCAGAAGAAGGGCAACCCCAGCGCCCCGGGGGCTGTCGTGGGACAAGCGCTGCCCACGCAGCCAACGGCCTCCCCGGGCAGCCCGGCACGCAGGGCTCCCTGCCAGCTCCGCGGCACGCTGCCCTCCTCGGCTCAGCTCCCCACGAAGCAGCACGGGGGCACAAGGGCTTCCTGCTCTGCAGGAGCTTCGGGCCACCCGCTGCTACAGGATGTGCTTTGAGAGCCAAGGGATTTCCATGTGGGAGACAAGGGACTTCCTCCTGAGAGGCTCCAGGGAGCTGCTAAGAGCAAGGTTTGTGCACAGAGCCCACACGGCCCTCGGGAGGGACCCCCGGGGCAGCCCCGCCAGCCTGTCCCGGGGCTGTGAGTTCCCCACAGATCCCCAGGAAGCAGCAGCATCGTGGAGCGCCCGGTACCTTTGCCGGTCTCCTGGCTGCTGCTCTCCTCAGCAGCACTGTCCGTCTGCAGGTCCTTCTCGCAGGGGTTGTGTGACTGCAGCACCTCCCTGGCCGAGGAGCCGTGTCTCTCCGGCCCATCCCGGCCCAGGTCTCGCGGGTGAGCAAGTTTCCGCCGCAGGACCGTGATCTCCTTCTTGATCATCTTGGCGCGGCGGGACCGTCCTATGCTCTGCTTGCCAGCATTAACCTCGTCCAGCCGCTCCAGCAGGATCTTCAGCTGCTCCTCCAAGGGCAGGTGCTTCTGATTCTCCGAGAGCAGCAGCCGCACATCTTCTGGGGGCACAAAGAGGAGCAGATGGATGAAAGACATTGGGAACTCTTTGGAGATCCCTAACACCAAAGGGAACAGGGCAATACAGGTTCCCTTCAGGAGGGAAATAGCTTCCACGGCTCCAGGCACCTGAGATCAGGGCAAGTTACCCCAAAGAGGTGCAGAAGGAGCTCTGTGGGAAGCAAGCCAAGTAGGACTGCTGGGGAAGTCAGGCTCAGCAGCAGCATGGAGAACACCTGAGTCCATGCCAGCTGGAACAAGAAAGAGGTTTTTAACAGGAAATGTCAGCAAGAGTCAAAGCACTGCTGAAGCCAGACAGCAGGGAAAAGGGAGATCTGCTGTCTGAGCCCCTGGGTCCTTTGCTGGCCTTCTCCATGCTGGAGCAGAGGGCCCCTCTCCTACAAATTATTCCTGGCTGGTGCTCCGCTCTACCCAGGAGAGTAACGGTCTAGAACCAAGATGATGGGGCCAGTGTATGCCCAGCTAGCAAAGCGCCCACCTCCTTGGGGAAAGGGCACACGTGGTCCAGGTATCACTTCCCCCAGGGAAGCAGCAGGAACAGAGCTCCCGGTGCCCTGACCCTGCAGAGGCCGTAGCTCTAAGTAGCCCTGGTAGCCCAGGACATGGGACGAGTACCCACCGTCCTCCACATCTTGGACCTGAGCCTCTTCCACAGTTACACAGTGTGGGAAGTGCATGCCTGTCTCAAAGTCAATGCCCATCTTCTCGGCCTGCCGGCGAGCCTGCCGGAGCACGGCGCCTCCCTGCTCCCGCAGACGGATGGCGGCCCGGTAGAAGATTGTGTCTTTGGCATTGTATTTCAAACAGTTGTTGATAATCAGGTTAAAATCCTCCTCAAAGTCATCAAAATTCAGATAGCGATAGGCTTCCAGATTCTGTTTCATTGTCTGAAAATCCATCGGCTTCTTGATGTGATCCAGGTAGTCTGGGACCTGCACAAGGAAAGAGCCAGAGCTAAGAGGCCAGGAGCCGCCCACTAGCACTACCTGCTCCAAGAAAACAGTTGTTAGAGGAATCAGGTACTGCTCCCTGGGGATCTGGAAATGCCACCTGCTTTTTAGAGCCAGAGGGATGGTAATGCCTGGGGATTAGAGTCCCTGTGCTGCACTCTACCCGTTGGCAGCACACACACACTCAGGACACCAGTGCACACACCAGCATCCCACCCTCTCTTCTGTCGGCAGCTGGAATACAGAATATTACCTAGGATCCCCGCAGGGCAGGAAGCTGCAAGCACAAATCCCTGGGGAGAGGGTGAGCATGGACAAGTAAAATAAAACTGTCAGGATGGCAGCAATGGCTACAGGTCGGGACCTTGCAGCCTTCCTGCCCAGCTCAGCAGAGACACCTCAGTGCCAACGTGCTGCCAGAGCTGTGCAGAGCCAGGATTCCCTCTCCCACCTTCCCAGGTGGGGAACTAATGGCATTCTCAGAAATTCCTTGCCCCAGGAGCTTTGAACCTGAGGTCAAGCCCATCTCTTGTTCTTGGTCTGCCACCTGGGAAAGGCACTCTCAGGGGGGACAAGTAAGAACGTGCCATTCGCCAAGGCTCCAAGTGCTGGCATTCTCCCTTTCCCAAGCGGGAATCCCGACCTCTCACAGGCACTGAGGAATTGCCAACAACACGCACAGAAAAGGAGACCAAACCCTGCGCTCCCGGCCAGCAGCAGCTGCCACCGCCAGCTCAGCCGTCCCGTGCTCGGCTCCCTCGGGGACATCCACCCTCGTGCGAGTGCCCCGGGACGAGCGAGCAGCGCCGGGCTGCCCGCCGGCTTCCCAGGTGCCTTCCGGGAGCGGAGACCACCACGGAGAGCCCTTGGCATGAGCAAGGGACAGATTTGAGCGAAGTAGAAATCTGGGGGAGGGGGTTCTTACTTCGTAGATTTCTGTTACCTCAGACAGAGGGACCGGCTCGCTGAAGATGTTGCCCGTGTCTTTTTCCTGCAGCTGCTCGAGCGTCTTGCGGAGGAGGATGAGGAAGGGGGTCAGCTGCATTTCCAGTGCCACCTGCTGCACTTTGATCTGAAAGAGAGGAACAGAGTGTGGCTGAGCCCCCGGCCCGGGCGAACACACGGCAGGGAAGATCCCCAGGGAGCAACCGGGGAGGACGGGGAAACGTTTCCCAGCTGCTGCGAGGGACCACCCTCCTCG